AAACACTTTTCTAATCCACTTTTTCTACTACTAAGAGGAACAGTGAAGGTTCTTTTGATTTTCTAAATGTTGTTGGTTTTCTACTACCATGAAGAACGGTGAATGTCCATTTTAATTATAGAAACGTTGTGGGTTTTCTACTACCATGAAGAACGGTGGAGGATCTTTTAATTATCGAAACGTTGTGGGTTTTCTTTAACCACGAGGAACAGTAAATGGTATTTTGATGATGGAAACGTTGTAGGTTTACCATGAGGAACAATTATGATTCTTTTAATTATCGAAACGTTATGAGTTTTCTATTACCTTGAGGAACAGTGAAGGTTCTTTCAATTATCGAAACTTTGTGGCTCTACATGCACATTTAACAATATTTCTCTATGAATATCCACCTTGGAAGGAACTGTGACATATCCTTCAGCATCACATCGCCGGTATTACACTGAATACTGTGAACCATCCACAGCAATACGACACTATATTAGCAATTACAAATAGTTCTCTTGAAGTGTGTTTTATACTAGCTTTAAGGGATTTATTTTTTGCAAGTTTGATACTGATTTTTTTAGCTCTGAATTGTTAAATTGTCTTGGTTGATTGTACTATTTCTCGAACTTATTTTCTTGATATGATACACTGATGATACTAGCTTGACGTTGTCACCTTTTGGTTCATTTTCTCCTAATTATCTCTAAGTGGTTAATTTTGTCCCTAGGTGTGTTTCTTCTGATAGTTGTATACTGGTTAATACAGATCAAAGATATTTTACTATTTATTGTTTTCGTTTACTGATGGTTTTTTTTGCGTCAAAGTGTTGTGTTTTAATTATTGTGTAGTGACTACCTTTTTGTTTGTTTATCGCTAGGAAGTGTTGAGTTTATGTCTTGTTATTAATATTAATACCGTAGTAGGGTGTGATTCCAAATCCATTACGTGAGGAGGATTAACATTCTATAAAACTGTGACATTTGGCCACATAACTACTAATTTGTTTAGTATTTCCAACCTTTCGGCTTCGCTACTGAAGCTTGTAGGTGATAATAAATTTGTATTTACGTGGAAAAATGCTCTAGGTTTTTGTTGTTTTTTCCACTGTAGTGGCAAATCCTTCAGTTCTCGGGTGTGTCCTGCACTGTTTCCAGTTTAACCATTTCAAAGAAAGGTCTACCTTGGAATATCGAGTCTGTGTTTTTATATAAATAATTTGTTATTATCGTACGTGTTTTCACTTAATTGCTATGTAGCATTTGTAATTTTTATGTTTTTTTTTTCTGTCAAGATCGTAAGCAATTCTTTGGAAATTCTGCAGTAAAGTAGGTGGTTCAGTCATGAAAAGTAAAATATATTCAATTTGCTTTTGTACGGCTCTGCCGAGCGAAACGAGGTAGAACTGAGTATAAGGATTAGAGTAGAAGCGTTCTTCACGCATGCGCTATGCATATCAAGCCATATCGGTGCGGTAACTATCCAATACCAAGGAGAACTTTCTGTCTATCTGTGGGTACATCTCCTCCTAAACGAGTTGACCGATACAGACCAAACTTGTCATTGTAATTTAGTAGTACAAAAGCAAACCAAATTCATATTCAACTTTTCTATATATTTAATAATATATATATATAATAACCCGTATATCGTTACTGCAGTAGCTATTGTAAATAGTTGAGCTTGAACAAAACTCGCACCACAAAAAAATTCCACAAGTCAAAGATTGTAAATAAAATATCCAGCGACAATGTGAATCTCTCTGGATCGGAATTTAGATCCTTTTGTCAAGATCTGGGAGGGTCACGTACTTGCGAAGACAATGCGGAAAATAAAGATATTGCTGCTGTTTAAGTTTCCCGCTCTTTTCTGATTCATACCATTTAACTTCCGGTTTATACTAGGATTAGAATAAGTGCTCAAGCTTGAATTAGAGAAGTACTTCACAATTAAAATATTTTTGGGTATTTTTTTACTTCTTGATTTAGAATATAGTTTTCCGTAGAAGCAAAATTCGAGATTATAATAAAATTTAATGCATTATATTTACAAAATTCAGACAGTAGAAATCTTGACCACATCTCTGCTGTGAAATGGGATGCTTCGAACAAGAAGTGACCCAACTGCTTTGTCATTTCTTCCACGTTTCTCGACTTGACTTCTACACCCCCTCATTTTCGATCCACTTCCTTTGTCTTACAACAAGTTCCTTGGAGAATGAACGCTACCCAAAATCCTGGCAGAGCTTTTGCTCATTTTTAGCCAATTTGTGCATGTATACAGCATTTTGAAGAGAAAAAAGACGAAGGGGTGCAGTGTCCTTAAAACAACCTGCAAATCTTTTTAAGGTAAAACATTTAAAGTGCATTACAAGAGCTTCAAAATAAAAGCCCATTATGGACTGAAGTTCAATATTACTTGGAAACTTTCACCGGATCTGTTGGGCTTTCACCAAGGGCAAAGCTGGGTATGCAATTTGCATCACAAGAAAAAAAGTATTAGTCAAATTGCACAACTACTTAAATGTATATCAAATTAAAATAAAACTCATTGGATAAAAGCGATTGCATATTAAGTTTTAATTTAAAACATTGTATTGTTATTTACACAAAAACCTGTGCGTAACTTACTTCACGTTATCACAGTGTTACATCCCGGAAGTCTTAATAATAAAATAAGACCGAAATATGTCAATTTTCGGCTCTTCAATAACAAACTGAAACAAAATATATCGTAATAGTAAACCGAGAACTGTAGTATTTAAACTAAAAAAAAAATGTACTGGTTTGTTTGTTTTAGCGCAGAGCTACACAATTGGTTATCTGAGCTATGGCAGCCGCAGGGATCCAACCCAGAATTCTAGCGTTATAAGCCATCGGCTTTATTGCTGAACCAGTGGAGGGACTAGCAATGTATTCATAATAACGTGTGGTTTCAATATATGCATCGCCAAAGCATAAAGCCATCGCGCAATGCTCAGCGTAAGTTTAGTAGCAATTTTTAGCCTTTTAGTGGCTCAGTGGCAAGTCTGCAGACCTATCACGCTATAAACCGGGTTTCGATACCCGTGGTTGGTACGGCACAAGTAGACCATTGTGTAGCTTTATGCTTAAGAACGAACAAATAATAGCAATTTAAATTGAATTAGTTTGTTACAATCACAAAATGTATGTTAATATTATTAAATACAAAGGCCACTGTTGTAAAGGACGCTAAACCTCCATACAATGTTAAAAACCATTCATTTTAATTCCATTAAGTAATATTCTTAACGCTACTTACCCTTCATAGAGAAACCAGCTTGTCAGCGTACTTAATGAAATATTTTCTTTTTCGCTGAAAGTGACCCAGTGACCTGCACCTTACCTGTTTAGAGATGTTAAATTTAAGGTGACACTGCCGCAGGAAAAAGGTCTCTAGCACAACAAGAGGCAGTCTTTAAGAAGCAGCCAGCCAATCAGTGAAATTTCTTGAGAACCTTCTGAAACTCTTCCTGAAATCTTTTAAAAACAGACTTTACAAAAAAGGAGACATCCGAGGCCGATTTGCATTGTCAAGTGAAAGTTACATCTGACGAGCTAAGTTTCTGGAGTAGTCATACTGCTCTCCGCAAATCGCCATCTGTAATTTTTTATGAAAGGAGTAGAAGCTTGAAAACTTAAAGGATGTTTGTTGCTACTGTAGTGTTGTTAGCTGGAATTTTCCGCACAGGTAAGTCTGATAATTACATACCAAAAGTCAACAGAAAATTTAAAGTTTTGATAAGAATTAAACTATTTTTAGTCAAAAGATTTAGAACACAGTTACTCTCTTAAAATTGAACTTTTCATTTTTTTTTGTATTTCTTCTCAAGTGAACTATTCAAATCATAATATTAAATGATAAAGCTAACATTATTAGTTAATAATATTTCTAATAGTAGAGAAATAATAAAATGTTGGTCTGTTAATCGAACGTGCATGGGATTGGTCCATCGAACCGACACCGTATTAAAGAAGAAATGTTGACTGCCAATCATAATTTGCTACGTGTATGTATACAAATCGTGGCAAACTTTTAGTCAAATCAACAAATATGTACATACGTGTGTGAACTGCCGACGTTAGTCTGACTCAGACTATGACAAGCTGGAATGCAAGATAATGTCTATCGTACAGTTTAAATATTGTATATTTACATGTTGTTGTTTTTTTCAGAATCTTTATATTGTATCTGATATTCAATCACCTCTACTACGAACTGTCACTATATCAGCAGTGCAGGATAAAGTGGATAGTTGATAACTCTGACATCAAATACATAATATCTTGTTGAATGGCACTTTGTAAGAAGTCGTGGCAGTGGCTTGCGAAATTTTGACACCCACACATCCACATAAGGTTAATATACAGGTATAATAATGGCTGGAGACGGCTTGAATGGGTAATGAAGAAAAACTTTAATATAAGTTTAACATAACAGTAAATGTACAACGTTGTCGTTTCTTCATTACCCATTCAAGCCGTCTCCAGCCATTATTAGTTTCAAAGTGGGTTCCTCGTCATCAAATATACAGGTATACTTGACCATCATGTGGGAGTGAGAGGGGTCACATTACTCAAAATCCAGAAAATATTTGTCAGGTTATTCTCAGCTATCAATGATGTCTTTGAAAAGTGTCTTCTTAGTGAGAAAAGTAAGCAAAGAATAAATCTTTAGAGTTGTTAACTACACAATATAAAATATGGACAAGTATATACGAATGTAAGAATATAAATTAAATATCCGGCTAATTTTGGGAATTTCAATTTATATTTTATCTGTCTGTCAATACAGAACTACCAACAGCAGATAAATTACTAGCGTGAACACAAGTGGTAATAAGCTTTTGAACAATATTTTGTTTTTAAATTAAAAACTTATTTTTTTTTTTTATATACACACAATATTCTCCTTGTAAAAACGAAATAAAATTTGATAACTATTTTGGACATGATCAATGCCGGGAACTACGTATTTTGTATATAGAGGCTACAGACCTATTTTGTGCACGAAATGATATTTAAAGAGCTAATTTTACAGGAACAAAGTGTGAACACTCAATTTATAAGAACAATTTGGAGTAGCGTGTAGCCACAGATGCTTGCTGGGAAACAATAGGCATCTAGTGTATCTGTAAATTCAGACCACTTGAAAGTGCAATACTACCACAAGTAGATTTTAAGGCTCAAGGAAAGTTATCCCATCCTTTCTATGGAAGAGTATTCGTATAGTGATATTGTTATACGACGCAGAACCAAAAAGACACAACATTTCAAAGACGAGGGCTTTCAGTATTTTCCATGAAAGGGTCAGGAGAACATTTAGGACAGTAATGGATTCCCAAGCCACGGTTCTTCTTATTTGGGAACATTGTCCTGATCCGCAAAATGAGGGTTATAGTTACGAAAAAGAACCCTCCAACCTCCAATAAAAAAAAATCACGTTATTACTGTTAACGGTATAAGAAACAATTTGGAATTGACAAAGGTTCATAATCTTTTAGCCGTACCTAAAACAACGGCTGTTTTTACATGGAAAAGGTTGACGAAGAAACTAGAATCACAATAATCATAATCAATCTTGATGTAGCTGTGCTACATCCACGTACAGTGGAGTATAAAGATTCAACGTTCTCGCCGTCCTTCGCCAAAACTTGTTACAATGGAAATTTCGATGTCATGCAATGGTGCGCAATCATGGGCATCAAATCGAGGAAGTTGAACTAGTAATTTTAGTGGCATCACTGCTCCAAGAAAACCCTTTTAATAAAGAGTGATTAATTATCGGTATAAGATTATCAATATATTCGTACAAAGCTTGTCAAGGTTAAAAGAATAAATTCAAGGTGCAAAAACAATTATATATACAGATAAAATAATAATCTAAATAGCATTTTGTGGGTAATCTGATAATATTATTAGAAATTATTGTGAAATAAGCTATGAAAATGTGGAGCATCTGTTCAAATATGTCATCTACAGGGTGGGCAAAAAGTCTGGGCACCCCCGCCCCAAATAAAGATAGTGTACTTGAAATAATTTATTGCATATTTACATATCTCATATTTACACAGACTAAAAAAAAGGTTTAATTAGTAAGCTAAAATGATCGTCTGTTGGCCTTCATTTTCATGACGTATGATGATAAATGTACGGTGTTACATCCTCCTTAGCATATTATCAACAGTTTTTTTGTTTCAAAGCATCAGTTGTTTCATATCGTTCCTTTGCCACAATCATTACTAAAACGCAAAAATTAAGTTGCTAACGTGAGCTTTGAATAAGGAGGGTTCTCAGACTTTTTTCCCCACCCTGTATATTAAGATTAAATGTTTAAAAAATGTGTATGTATATTCACTATAGCAGTAGTTAACCCTCTTGGGTTGTCTGGAGATGTTTCTGGAGAAGTGTTTAAGGAAATAGTTACTTAATATTCGATATTGATTCTTACCAAGAATCCCAATGTATTGCCATAGTAAGTAGGGTTACAATACTAATCCCTGTTGTTTTTATTCACATTCTAGGAGAGAAGGCTTTAATGTATAGGCACTACGTAATTAATCTTAATATGACAAGTTATGTTGGCGCAACTAGACCCTTTTGGGTCCGTGGAGCAAAATTAGTTGGGGAGAGGGGAGGGGCTTAACCATTGTTTATATCTATTGTGAGGAACTCTAAGATACTGGGGGGGGGGGCTTGATATAATTACAAAGGTGAGTAATTGCGCTGTTCTTTCTTATGTACAAATATCTCTACATTAAAACCCAACAATAATTTTATTTAGACACATATACAAAAGCAGAAACTGAATTACATAGAGATCATATCATTCTTCCGCAGAAAGAAAAACTAGTCATTATGGTCTATTACATGGAACCCCAATAACCACTTTTAAAAATGAAAAACAAACTAAACTTGGACACTAACTGCTGAACAACGGCCGCCCAGCTAAATATTTAACGTTAACCTGTGTAGGAAAGTGGAAGAAAAAGGGAAATATTAATATTTAGAATACAGTTAGAACAGATTTATCAAACCAGGAAAACATCGATAACTTGAAAAGCAACTCGACTCTTTAAACATGAACTATTTCCTGTCATTGATGATAATTACGCAAGTTGAAACAACCCTGGTATCAGATAGAATTGTATAGAACTCAGGTCAAATCGAAGAGATAATTCGACCATATCGTATTTTAAAATCAATAATCAGTTCATCAAAGGAAAGAGGCTTGTTAATTCCTCTGATATGAAAGAACATTGTCATGTCAAAAATGTAATTATCAACTTGCCCCCCCCCCCCCCATCCCCAACACACTCTCCGCAATGGAACATGGATATCTCATTGTGTAGCTTTGTGTACAAAGACGGACAAACAGGCTTTGAATGTAAAGATTGTGGCGCCACCTTTACCAGCTACATTTGCGAATTATTTGAGCATCTGAGAATACGTTTAAAAAATAATTCAGAGAAATGTGTTGTGGGTCACCGTGTTTCAAAACATGACATACTAAATTCGTCTATCCTGTAAACCTTAAAAACGCTTTGCAACTGACTGGATGACTGTAGTTAAAAATATTAATATTTGTCTTGATTTCGTTTGGATTTTCTAACTAATTTCGGGTTATTTTGAGCAGCCAATTAAATCCGGAATTTGTAGGAATATAGCTTATTGTATGATTAATCGAACGGTATAGGCAATCCTGAAAGTGAGAAGCATTTACGAAGTTAAAGTGACTTTTGTAGGGTTAGTGGGAGAGATTTTTCGTTGGAATTTGCTTCTAGCCATCAGTTGTTTGAATGCAAGTTCACTGAGAACACAGATTATTTTCTTCAAAAAACTTATTCCAGTCGTTCCGGACTCAGTTCAAATATCAGAAGTGTCAGTTTCGAAGCTGACCTGCAAGTGCAAGATCGCAAAATGTTCGGAATGTTAACAGTGCAGAAGTTGGAGACGTGACCGAAATAATAAGCCGTAAAAGAGGTCGAAGAAGGTTTACCTGTAACAAAGGTGACGATGTAAACAAACGCCTGAAGTGAAAAACAACATCTCGAAACGATCGAGTATTTTCAAGGAGGTTCAAGAAGAGTTCCATAATCACGAAAAAGAGGAGGTGAGGAAGGAAGATGGTAGAGGGGCAATAAACGGTGTCGACAAACTTCTTAATGTTCGGCTTGGCTTGACCAATGACCACCACTACTTGACCTTTGGCACCGTAAAACTCTTCACTTGTACAGCCTTGAACCTAGAAAGGTTAAAAAACTGCAGCAAAATGCTCAGCAGAGCGCAAACTACCCCCCTCTTAAACATACTTATGCTTTCCTAATTTGGCGGGAACCTTTCCACTTAACAAACCACTGTAATGTTCTTTGATTGGGTCAGAGCAGAGGTCGCTGCGGAATGGTTGCCTCTACGTGGTCGATGGTTCAAAATTATGCAACTCCATGGACTACGCACTGATAAACGTGATGTGACTGGACTCCTTAAACATAGGGAGGAGAGCCTATGTTACAAACTCCTTTAAAGTGTAACCATAATCCAACCGTTGACACAAGTTTGTTTGTTTGTAATTAAGCACAAAGCTACACAATGGGCTTTCTGTGCTCTGCCCACCACGGGTATCGAAACCCGGATTCTAGCGTTGTAAGTCCGCAGACATACCGCTGTGCCACTGGGGGCCGTTGACACAAGCCTAATATATATATATATATATATATCATTGAATATTTCTGTATTGTGTAAGTAAAGAAGGACCGCTATAGAACTCACAACAGCAGCAGGTTGACCCAAAAAATAGCAGATGACGAAGATCTGAATTCCCAGTTTATTACATTTCGTGAACAATTCTAACTTAGACAGTAGATTATAATCTAATAGAAAAGAAACTCTGCCTCACTCGCTTCAGAGGAACTTGGTTGATAAACATAATTCTGTTAGCCTCAGTTCTTGTACCTCACCTGATGATGCCTGGTAAATCTGATAATAAATGATGTCTGGTAAATAATGATGTAAATTTGGTGAAACATTGTGAATAAAATAAATGTTTTACTATGTACAACCGATAAGCACTTGTGTGAATTTTAAAAAAGTAGTTCTTTCTGATGTTTAGTTCACTAGATTGTTCCCTGTATATTATCATTACGTTACTTTTATACATCTTAGTACATTTTGTTTTATGTATCTCTCCTTATAGCTAACAAGGTATTGCATTACAGATCATACTTTTTTTCTGCAGAAAACAACAACAACAGACGAGTCATTATGGTCAACTGTGTATAGAATTCACAGAGTATATCTTGATAAACACCTCTCATAATTAAAAACGACTAAATTAACTTCTGATCAAAGGAAGCTACCTACATAAATCATAATTAAAAATAATACTAGTAATGAACATAGCTAATATAATATATTGTTGTTACTTATAATGATTAAATACATTGTTTCGCTATAAGTGGTATTTTCGGCGGTAATCCCAATATCACAAGAGATTTGGCTAACTTAAATCTTTTAACCAACACTATTAATGAAAATAATATTCAAGAAAGAATAAAGTGCAACTTACAGAACGTACAAAACTAGTTGCTTGCTTCATACAATACCAGCGATCTCCTGTCCCTCAAAGAACTTGAAATCCGTATATGCAAAAACTTAATATCATCCTTCCTAACAGCATCTTAAATAAATTACTATTGCCACACACGTTACTCTTTAACTGTAGAGTCGGATAGCAGGACAGTAGAGAAGTACAGCAAAAAAAAAGTTTATAAAAAATTAAACTAAAAATAAAAATTATACAATAAATAGTAAGAATGCTGATGCTCTAATTAAAATAGCCAAGTTAGATGCAATAAAAAAGAAAAATAATTTACTAAACAAACTATGAGTTGAATCTAACACAACTGATTCAACTTTAACTGTCTCTTGTCCTTTTCGCAACACACATGGAATGGCCAACCGGAAGTAATAAGTAAACACCGACCATTACCTTAGAGGATGTTCAATCACACTTTGTTGGGAAAATACGAAATGGTATAACGGCGTTTATTAGTTTACTTATAGCCTGGTGGTTAGGACTTTCGACTCGCAATTTGCGGTATACCGGGTTCGAATCCCTCTCACCGAAAATGCTTGCTCTATCAACTGTGAAGTCTTTATAACGTGACAGTCTATCCCATTATTCGTTGGTAAAAGAATATCTCAATAGTTGGCGATGGGTGGTTCTGACTAGCTGCCTTCCCTCTAAGTCTATTACTGCTAAATTGGGGACGGCTATCGCAAATAGCCCTCGACTAGCTTGCACGAAAATTGAAACAAACAACCAAATTATATTACTTTATTTGATTGTCGCACAAGACGCTCATCTCGTGAAGAAAAAAAATGGTATTTTCAACCTGAACAGCACCTTATGCGACCATTAGCGACCACACAAGACTCAAACACAGCATGACCATCCTTAATTTTAAAACTGTTGACTAGATGATGGACAAACAGCTAGCAGCACACGTCGTCCACTTCGCTACTCTTAACTAATTAGCTGGATTAACTGCTACGTTTACAAACTTCCATAACTGAAAGAGTGGAGATTGTTCACCCTGCTTGAGCCTTAGACTTTCCGATCCTCAGCCGAGCACATTATCTTTATGTCACACGCAACCCTTTTAAAGAGCTAGAAGTAATTTAGAGCACGAGAAGTGAGATAGTTAAAAGTGCAAGATTACAAGATTTCTCAAATAGCACACACCATTATTCTTTAGCAGAGCTGTGTGGTTTTATTACTTGGTGTAAACCAGACCTTGTGGATTTATCTACATATATATAGGTCATCTGAGTCATTGTCCTTCTAATTCTCTATACCAGTGTATGTAGCGAAGTCGTAAGTTGTAATGGGAAGGTAAACAATGTTTTAAAGCTCAAAATAGGACGAAGAAAACAGCAGGAAAAGGACTGGAGAGAAGACACGAGCTGAGGAGGTGGTTTTGATTTTTTTTTAAATCAAAGATTGCACTTTCTACGATAAAACTGGCTAATGACGTGAGTCAAATTTCTTTCAAAAATTGTTATAGGTGTACAGAAATGTTTGATACGACACATGGTAAAGTTGAAGAAATGTCCTGATTGGGGTTTTAATTTTGAAAAACTAAAAGTAAAATTGTTAAAAACTAAAACTTCCAGGTGCACTTTAAATATTTGATTGTCTCGTCTTATAAACACAAGGAATATTTGAAAAACTTTTTTCAGTACTTTTTTAACAGACGACATTTTGTTTGTTTGGGTAAAGAAACTTGAGAAATATATCAGTCTAATCAAATGAACACATACACATAACACGCCTTGGTGAGAACAGATAATAGAATATTGAGGCTGAAAAATTATTAAAACAACAGTTAAAATGAAATGTTATAAAAATATTCAATTGGTTATTCGTTTGTCTGTTTCTTGTTAAGCACAGTAGGCTATCTAGGCTTTTCTGTTCCAGCAGTAGCTCAGCGGTATGTCTGCGGACTTACCACGCTAGAATCCGGGTTTCGATACACGTGGTGGGCAGAGCACATATAGCCCATTGTGTAGCTTTGTGCCTAATGACAAAAAAAAACAAAAAACAATCCAGCAGTTGGTATAATTCCCCACAAAATATTATAAAGTAGGGGTCCCAAACTCTCTCAGCACAAGACTCTCCAGAACATTTTGCATCCTAACTAAGGCCCATCCCCACCCAATAAAGCTGTAGATACTGAGTACCTTAATAGTAGTGTGTATTCGCGTGCGATCCCCTGTTTGGGGACTCCTGTTCTAGAGACAAGTCGGGTGAATAAAGATTTTGTTTATCAGTCCACTCGTGTTTGTTTTAATGTCATTTGCTGTCCGTGTTCATTTTATTCATTTCCAAGACATTTCATTAACCTGATTTTTTTTGCAGATATATATAATATATTTATTACACACAACAAGCATTAATAAAAAATATAACATTCCATAATCAAAATGAAGTCACCAGGACATAGGTTATGATGTGGGATATAAGATGTGTTCTGGTCTTTGGAGGTGACTGCAGAAGTAGCGGTTGGAAGGATACATCGTATATCAGTCTTAACATCTTTTTTTTAACATTTTGTGGCAATTCTATATTTAAGCCCTTTTTTAAAAGAATTTCACACAGTAGTTGAGCTTTTACAATCTCTAAGTTACCGGTAACGACATATTTATGAAAAGTATCAATAAAATACTATTTTTACATTCACAGGGCAAAATATTTACATGAGCTTTTTAATAAACTAATAATTATATACGAGTGGTCCAAACGGAATTTCATATTTACCAGAGCTTTTCTTAAGGATTTTTTTCAACTGCACAATTATATTTTAACTTCATCATTTTTCAATACACGACGCCTTATTGCACCTCATATATACAGGCCTAGTAGCAAATGATCCAAAAAATGAAGAATATTCTAGTAAATACATTTACTTATCAACTTAGGAGTGGAATTTTATAATCTTAAATATCTTTTTTTTAATATTTAACCACTTTAACTTAATTATTTAGATAAATTTTGAACTGCATACATATTTTTACAAATGCACACTAGGAAAACCCCTGATATTTACAACTAATAATAGGTTTCAAGCTTTTACAAGGAGAAATGTTTTATTTTATAGATTGGCGAATAATACTAGAAATCTGTAAGGCATTAAATATGTTATGTTTAAAATTAATTATAAAATACGAAGTTCTAGTTCTAGGTTTATCTTTCTCGAATTTTGATAAATTATTCATTTTTAATATATACTTCACTATACATAAAATAAACGTTATGTGTGATCGTGTTAGAAATTAAATTTGTTAAGTATTTTAATCAGTATCCGTATTTTAGAAAGATTAAGTTGATATATCTTTCTAAAAACAATTTACTTATATGAGTAATAAAAAATCCGTCCTGGCATGGCCAGGTGGTTAGGGAACTCGACTCGCAATCTGAGGGTCGCAGGTTCGAATCCTCGTTACACCAAACATTCTCGCACTTTTAGCCGTGGGGGCGTTATAATGTGACGTCAATTCCACTATTCGTTGGTAAAAGTGTAGCCTAAGAGGTGGTGATTACTAGCTTCCTTACACTGCTAAATTAGGGACGGCTAACGCGAAATTCAAAACAAATAAAAAATCGTATTTATAGAGTACTGCAAAATTATTGAAAATTAATCCATTTTATTTTATATTTTTCATTTACCTCTTATTATTTTTAGAAAAGCTGTCTAAAAAAAACAATTTAACAATACCGAAATCTTGGTTTAATCCATAAGGATATATCCTTGTTTAATTTCAGAAAATAAAAATTCTCACGTTCAATTTATAGAATATTAGAGCACCTGAATACTTCATTTGTAACAGAAATTACTAAACTAGTATATAGCTGTGTCTGAAGTAATAATGTATGAGTACCCTACAACTGATGCCTTTATTTGCCACACACTGTATGGTATCCCTTTAAACTGTACTGGGCATATATTATGTAATTTAACTACAAACAAAAATCACTCATCAGTTCCAGAAACCAATAAAGATAAATGTTCTTTGAAGTCGATTACTAGCTGTGGGTTGTTTTTCAGGATGGAGCCAATGTCCAGAACCTGACGGATTTTTTCCACATGAGAGGCAGTGTGACCGCTACTACCTCTGTCGAGAAGGTGAGATCAGTGAAGGACTTTGTCCTGATGGTTTGGCTTTCAATGATCAAGTCTCCCAATTCAATCCCCGCTGTGATTACATTCAGGACGTTGACTGTAGTACGAGACCCGATCTTCGTAAGTTTTGTTTTTAAAACATACTATCGTATTACTATTGTTATATAGTAATATACAACGAAATAACTAGCGTGTTTTGGTATGATTTAAACCAATCGTTTCCAAGTTTTTACTTCCAAACCGGCAAAATAACTTATACGTTTTGATATTTAATATGATTCTGTTTTTAACAATCATACAAATTATGTAATAATGTTTTTTTCTATCCGGTTTTATTTCCACTATCTGCACTAGTTCAGGTGTATGTATATATATATATGTATACTTCTAGTTTAGGTGTTTATATATATATATATATGTATGTATACTCCTGGTTCAGGTATATATATATGTGTGTGTATGTACTACTTCCTGTTCAGGTGTGTGTACACTTCTAGT